TCGTGGGTGCGGCGGGAGCAGAGCTGGCGGGAGTGCCGGTGGGCGGCGGGATAGGAGCGTTCCAGCTCGCCGCGGTGCCAGCCGGGGGTGGGGCCTTCCAGGTGCTCGACGGGGCAGGAGGGGGCGCCGATGGGCTTCCTTTCGGAGGAGCCGGCGGGGTGGCCACGGCGGGCGGGGTGATGACCGCACTGACCGGGCACACTGTGGTGCTAATAGGGATCACGACCGTAGTCAGGACGGTGCTATGAGCAGGGCAGCTTTTCACTTCGGCCCCGCAGCTAGTGATGGTGGTGGTGGTGGTGCTGAAGATGGTGCTGGTGGTCCAGGGGCCGCCCCAGGTGGGATAGGGAAGCGACAAGGTCGGGGTTGGGGTCTCGTCGTCGTCGTCATCACAGTCGGTTGAGCTGGGCCGCCGGTGAGCATCGTCAGCGACTGCGTAGGCCGTGAGGGCCAGGAGGGCAAAAAGTGCGGCCTTCATAGCGGTGGTAGTAGCGAGGGTGGTAGCCCCTGTTCTTGGTGCGTGGTGGAGGGTGTGTAAGAGGGTCCAACGAAAGGAGACCCGAGGCAGAAGCACAAGGTTGGGTATGAGTAGCACAAGGCACGGCGAGGCCAACGAGTGACGGAGCGAGTGGATGGTATCAAGTCGATACTGAGCAGCGATGAGGAGGAAGAGTGGTTGAATCACCTCTGGGGGGGAGGGTACGGGGCCCTTATGAAGACATCGTGCCTGGGGTTGGGGAAGGGCCAGAAGCAAGGCATCGCCCAGAGACAGCCCTGCCCCGGCCCTGCAGGGGCGATCTGCACTTGCAGCTAGGGCAGTAAGCCAACGAAGGGACGTGACAAAGGCTGGCAGTAGACCCGGACCCGACAATGACGAAAATAAAGTAGGTGCATGTAGCGGCGCAAGCCAGCAGGACAGGCCACCTCGCTGACGGCTAAAGGAGACGGACCAAGCTGCAATCTACGGCCGTCCTCAGGGCCGAGACTTGATTGCCCAGCGCTTACCGGATGAGCCGTTTGTCCTCCCAAAGCTGGCTTCCCGCCGCGACAAGGCAGAGATGGCTTGCCGTCGTCGTGGCTGCAGGATCGCAAAGCGGCTGGCAAGAGCGCTCAGCAGCGGCTCGACAGAACCGCGTGGCGAGCCGTACCATCGCAAAGCAAGGTCACATCAGCGGCGGCCCATGCAGGATGAGGATCGACTCGATGTTTTGAAACAAATTCAAGCTTTGGGGAGAAACGGCGGCTTTGGCTTGGTTAGGAAGACAGGTAGGAGTCAAGGCCTCGATCGGTCTAAGTGCCGCCCAAAGTAGTACGAGGGGGTGCTGGTTCCTGCATATGCTACTGTACCTAAGGAGCACGGCCCGCCGCTAACGAATCAGACGACAGTCCGTGCCCTTTGCTTCCCCCAGCTGTCAGCCCCCCCAAGGGAGAATGTTTCGTTTCAAGGTCCGTGGTCGTTTGGTTTTCAGACAAGACGACCATCTCTTCGAGCTACCAAGCCCTAGACAGCGTCCTAGCGCTCCCATAGAAGTCATGGTCGTTTCTCCCTCCCTGTCGCTCGCTGGCGACAAAAGCTAAAAGCTGTGCGTTAAAAGCGGGATTGTGGCAAGACAGGGAGGCAGCATAGGGCAGAACTGTGAAATAGGCAGTATGCTATTGGCCGAGGCCAGCCAATAGAAGAAGCCCATGCGACGAACCGAAGGACTCACTGTCAGGGAATGTCGGCGACACCTGTCGTCATCAGCCTTCTTCTCTAGGAGAGGAGAATGGCTACGAGAGGACTTAGCTATCGATCGATTGTTCTACTTGGGAACGAAAGGTAGCTCGGTAGATTACGGGAAGCGCAGCCGTCTTGCTCTGGCCTTGGATTGGCTCCCAAGGTGAGAATGAAGTCATCCGTGGCGTATTCGTGGTCAAGCCGCTGCAATACAGGAGAGCGTATAGGGAATAGCACTGCAGTACCACCACGATAATGCCACGGTGCATCTTAGAGGTGCGTGATAAAAGGCATTCGGCACCTACCGCCAAGCCGGAAGCTCAGATGACGTGTCCGGGTTTCTCGGTGTAGCTGCGTGGGCTGGCGGCGAGGACTGGGATATACTCCGATGTAAGGGATCTTTCCACGGCGGCGGCTCCGGGCGCTGGCTCCCACGAGAGCACGTTTGCGAGTTGCAGCTATTGATTCAGGCCAAGTCAAGTGTCTCGGACCCGGCCCGCTGTTCGAGATCAGGCCGCCGGAGCCCCACTAGGACCCATATCCAATGCCCCGCGCGCCCAAGTTCGGGCTGTTCAATCGGACAGGTCCTGTAGGTAAGGTAGGTAGCCAGTGACACGTTACGAGGATGACCGGGGAGGGCAGTCGTCGTTCTGTGTCCCGAGAGGCCGGCCTGGAGAGGGACATCAATCAGAGAAAGATGCAAGGATAAGCGCGGATCCTCTTTCCACGACTCGCCCAGCTTTGTTTCTCGGTAGCTCCTTCTAAGCCCAAGCCCACAAAGTCCGGGGGGTCCGAGGCGGGTGCGTGATTCGTCTGCCGTGCGCCCGAGCCACAGAATGGTGCGTTGGAGGGGCGAGGCGCTAACCTATGTACCCTGTCGCGCGGGAGCAGCCCGCGCCCGAACAACACGTATTCAGGAGCTCAACTCAGACGGGTGCCACCCTAAACTGGCTCATAGTTTCCTGGCGGCACAACATTTCACTCTTTTTTTCTCTTCTCTCTCGCAAAGCCTTGGATAGGCGACCGCATCTTCTCTTTGTGGCTTCTACTTTGGCCTGCCGCGCCCTGTCTTGGCTTATCGCATTCGATTCCGCAAGGCAAGGGACAGAACAAGACGAGCTCCCCGAGCAGCTAACAGGGATGGCGCCACCTGTCGATGCAACAACCCGCAAAAGGGTCCTCAAAGTCATCTTCGTCTCCTTGCTGCTGGACCTGGTGAGTCGCCGCGACTGCGGCCCCGCGTGTCTCAATCCCATCACGAGCTAACGGCGCATCTGCGGTAGATTTCGTTCACCTTCATCCTCCCTCTCTTCCCCCAGCTGCTCGAGTTCTACCGCAGCATCGAGGCCGACGCGGCCACTGGCTCCGAGCCCAACAATACCCTGCTCGCCAGCGTGCTCGGCTACCTTAATGCCTACAAGACCGCCTTCGCTAAGCCGATTGACTCGCGATATGACATTGTGCTGCTGGGCGGTGCCCTAGGGAGTCTCTTCTCGTATGCCGGACCTCCCCGTCTCCCCCACCCTCGCTGCGATGCCCCTTGCTGACGCTCGTCTGCTTCCCTCCCTTAGTCTACTGCAAGCTGTCGCCTCCCCCGTGATTGGCCATCTATCGGACCGCTATGGCCGCCGCACCGCGCTGCTGGCCAGCATGGTGGGCAACATCCTCTCGGTCCTGCTCTGGGTCATGGCTGTCGATTTCCGCACCTTCCTAGCCTCGCGCATCGTGGGTGGCCTGTCCGAGGGCAACGTCCAGCTGGCCACCGCCATTGCTACCGATATTTCGGAGGAGAGCAACCGCGGCTCAACTATGGCCCTGATCGGCGCCTGCTTTTCCATTGCTTTCACGTTCGGGCCCGCCCTCGGTGCCTGGCTCAGCTCCATCGGCACCGTGGCCGCCAACCCGTTTGCCACGGCCGCTAGCGTCAGCTTGGGGCTGATCGTAACTGAGACGGTGTATCTGTACTTTTCCCTGCCCGAGACGCTGCCGGCACTCACGAATGGCGAGGCCAAGTCGGCGGAGAAGAAGCAAGGCACCGCTAAGGTGGAGGCCCCCCGCGTGCAGCGCACCAACTCCCACTTCCTCCTCAATTTTGTCCACTTTTCCTTCCTGCTCTTCTTCTCAGGCATGGAGTTCTCTCTGCCCTTCATGACCTATGACCTCTTCCAGTATTCGTCAGCCAGGAACGGCCGCTTGCTAGGCTACATCGGCCTGGTGGCCTCGCTCTTGCAAGGCGGCGTGGTGCGCCGGCTCCCGCCGCTGCTGTCCGTTAGGATCGGCGTGGTCGCGTGCTTCCTGGCCTTTGTGCTGTTGGGGCGCATTTCGTCCGTCTCGGCACTGTACATCGCGGCTACCTGCTTAGCTACTACCTCGGCCACGGTAGTGACGGGCCTGAATGCGCTGAGCAGTTTTGAAGCCGGCGAAGGGGAGCGCGGGGGCAAACTGGGCATCCTCCGCAGCTGGGGGCAGATTGGGCGCGGTGTCGGCCCCATCTTGTTCACAAGTGTATATTGGTGGGCCGGCAGGGGAGTCGCCTACGGGGTTGGAGCAGCTGGTATCGCTGGTGTCAGCTCGATCGTATTGTTCGGGCTGAAGACCCCACCAGGCTCCGAGAGAATAAAGGCAAAGAGCAAGGACGCCAAGAAGGTGCAATGAACATTCTTCTTGGGCTGCATGTGCGGGTCGGAACTCTTGGTAGAGACAGAGTCGGGTGGGTCGATGTGTTATGCTGTACATCCTAGTAGAATTGTTAAATATCTTGTGGTCAGTTCATCGGTATGAGACTGTCATCAAAGCATAGATTATAAGTAAACGTGGCCGCCTAGCGGGTTATTGGATTGCATGCTCTGAGTCCCTCTGCTGTGTTGCATGTCATCGGGCTTGTGTGTCACTCTGCCTTCGGATCCATCTAGTCTTGCCTCCGCGTCACGGCGCCAAGGCTCTTCTCATAGCACACGTGAGTTGACTTCGAATCAGACCTCTTGGGAACGCAATCGGTGATGCCATTCTAGTCAATGATCCCATCCTTGAGGGGAGGCACTGAACCAGCATACGCTGGTAAGAGCTTGCCAGAAAGAAGAACCACTAGCCGAGCTGGCCGCCCACCGTGGCGACGCAAAGATAACCCGGCCGGTTTGCTGTTGAAACAAGAAGAAGCCCGCAAATTCAAGTGAGGTGCCGCCAAAATAAGCTTAAACAACAAAGACGCTGTCCACTCTGGCGGCGTGAAACAACATGCACGTTTACCAAGCGCAAAAATAAACCAAAAAAATAAAAATAAAAGCGACCTTGCTGGGACTCGAACCCAGAGTCTCTGGATCTTAAACTCTCTTTGTAGGAATCCAGCGAGTTACCATTTCTCTACAAGGCCGAGGTTGTATTTGGACGAAGCTGGCTCAAGTTCCTTCTGTTGATTCCCGCGCCGACCCATCAAGTGGGAAAGGAGTTTCCAGCTGGGAAGGCTGCACCTTCCCACTAGACTAAAATGCGTGACACAGGCGTCGTCTGTCTCCAGCTAGGCTGTCATGCGTTCTTACGCCTCTTAGGTATCTACAGGGCATTGTTGGGCATCATCCCGCCTTCTCAAAACGCCACTCACTGCTCGCTGGTAACGAAGGTGGCCGAAGGCGTAGTCCTGAATCCTAACACCGGGTAGCTGCAGCTTTGGGGGGAATGTACATTTTTTCACATTTCATATGCCCGGAAAGTTCTTCCATTTATCTGTCTCCGCCCCTAATATATGAAAGGCAAGCAAACGGGATGGGCAAGAAAGGAGGCAAGACCAGTGCAGTAGAGATGCCAAGGCCCTACATGACCCAAGTAATAAGGTACCTTCTTAATAATAAAAGTTTCAGACGTTGAAGTATCTCTATTTTCATGGCGAAAAAAAAAAAAAAAAAAAAAAAGGGACGGCTATCCCGCTCTAACCACCTTACTCCTATTGAGTAGGGGCAGTTGACAAGGCAGCTTCTCCTATCAACTAGGAGCGATGATCGCCCATTGGGCCGCGGTGCCATCTGTGATATACCAGGTTAATTTCAATGGTGTTATGACTGCGAACAAGGCCATGGGTGGCTGGAATCGCGGGCTAGGACCCGCGCGTGATGTCACGATACTGCGGCTGGTGGTTGGGTACAGCCGCCGTCTGTGGCAATAGCCTCCCAAAAGACCTGACAAGCTACTTTTGTATACGAAAGAAAATCCTGAGGACCACCATGCGCAACTGCCGTTGCGGGACAGCCTCGAGGAGGACGCGAGGCTGAGAGAGTCTCCCGGGAGGTTAGGTAGCAGCTTGAGAGTAGCATGCAGTCTGGAACGAGGAAACGACTCTTTCTGTGAATTTTTCGGCTTTCAGAGAGAGAAATAGGTGTGGAAGACGATTGGAAAGGGAGCAAGGCCATCATTGGGCGTCAAAGAGAAGATCTCACACCAAGAAGCTTGCCTGTTCCTATGGCTGCTGAGTGCTGTGGCAGTAAAGCTTTGTGGGAAACTTTGACAAAGAACTCTTGATAGGTTACTGAAAGAAGAACTCCGGGTTATAGTCCTGACATCTTTGAGACTCAATAGCAGAGAGAGGAAGGATAGGGACAGAGCAAGATGTCAGGCCACGCGTTTGCTTCTAGATGTGCACTTCTGGTTGGAGCATTGGCATCGGATTCCTTCATACGCAAGAGACTAGATTTGAAGGAATTCCCATTAATTATTTGGTCTTACTTATTCCGGTACGTAGTAAACTCTTGCATCACGCATCAGGTGTCAACCATCCTAAAGTATCCTTTTGTTGATGCTGCCCCTTACCCCTGACGCACGGCCCTTCTCTCCCTACTTGTCCAACTGACACCAGTACGTCTTACCCACTCTGCTGGCCTTAGGCTCACTTGTACAGGAGACTGATTCTGAGAAGCCGGATAGAAAATATTAGCATTTTCTGGGTGCATCTGAGGCACCTAGCAGCTGGTGGGAAAACAATGAACGGAAATGCCGGTACGGCCATGGCTAACCCCTCACCGACCACACTCCGGCCTTCGGCTTCCAGTGGGTCCGTCGCAAGTTGCAAGTTGGAGCGCCTCTGAAAACATGATCGAGCACCCCAGTCGCGCGCTAATATCTTTTACGATCAAGGTAACCCAAACGATTACGCCCGCCTTGCTATAAGGTAAGTGTAGCGAATACGCTGACGACTTACCCACGGCGAATTGTGACAACCTCGGCGAGACAGCCCCGCCGCGCACGGGGAGCGTATTAGACGGGTTGAACATGAGAAGGAAGAAGGGGGCCATGGTGTTCGCCCAAGCGATGCGACTTGTGCTTTGCTTTTCCATCACCTCTCTGGCCCGGGCATTCTCCTCCACGCCTTTTGACCCTCGAGAAGCTACTGTCGCGAGCGTGCGCAATGCTTTGTGGACCCAGTCGACAACTTGCCGGCAGGTCGTCTCCTCGTTCCTGGCCCGGATAGAGGCCTTCAATCCAAAAATCAACGCAATAATCTCCCTCAACCCCGAGGCTCTTGCCGTCGCCGACCAGTTGGATCTTCAGCTTGCAGAGGGGAACGCAACAGCCCCGCTGTTCTGCATCCCCGTACTGCTCAAGGACAACTTCGATGCTATAGGGATGATGACCACGGGAGGCTGCTTGGCTCTCGCAAACAACCAGCCTTCAGAGGATGCTCCGACCGTCGCTGCATTGAGGAACGCCGGAGCGGTCATCCTGGGTAAGACCAACTTGCATGAGATGGCGCTCGAAGGCCTTTCAGTTTCCTCTTTGGGCGGGCAAACGATCAACCCCTATGACGTGACACGCACTCCCGGTGGTAGCTCGGGAGGAACGGGTGCAGCGATTGCTGCAAGCTTCGCCATCATTGGGACTGGCACCGATACCGTCAACTCGCTTCGGAGTCCCGCGTCAGCTAACTCGCTCTACTCGTTCCGCCCCACGCGTGGCCTTATATCCAGGGCAGGTGTAATTCCCGTTAGTTACACTCAAGACTCCGTCGGTGCGATTGCACGGAGTCTAGACGACTTGGCTCTGGCCCTGACTATCATGGCGAGCGGCGGGCTTGACCCTGCCGACAACACGACTGCTCTGAAGCCGACAGAGCTCGAGGATAAAGATTACACCGTCGCTCTCCGGGGAGGAAGCCTGAAAGGTGTAAGGCTCGGGATTCTAGACGGATTCCTAAACCGCACGGGTTCAGACGAGACGACACCGGTGAACGTGGTAATGACCTCTGTTGTCGACAAACTGACGGCCGGGGGGGCCGAGATCGTTAATATTACAGAATCTATCTACAATGCAACTCAACTTTTGACACTAGACACCCAAGTATACGAGTACCGCCAGGAACTGGACTCCTACCTTGCCAGAGGCCATCTTGCTGGTACATCTCGCCCTACAACGTTCTCCGAGCTCTACACCTCGGATAACTTCCTGGTCATCCCCGCTCAGTACCCCTACATTCAACGTGCATTTACGTGCTCTACCTCGGACGCAGGCTACTCGGAAACTAAGCAGGCTATTCGTCATCTGGGTGCTTTCCTCCAAACTACGTTTGAAGCGCACGGTCTGGATGCCATCATATACCCCCAGCAGAAGAATTTGGTTGTTAAACAAGGCTCGCCATCTCAGAGTGGGCGCAATGGCATTTTAGCGGCCCTCACCGGCAGCCCCGTGGTCGTAGTCCCGGCCGGTTTCTCACCGCCGTCCGAAGATGCGCCGGTTGGGGTGCCTGTGGGCATGGAGATATTAGGAAAGCCGTGGAGTGAAGATCGCCTGCTGAATATCGCAAAGCACGTTTCCGATACCCTTGGCCCAGTGAGACGGGTACCGCATTTCGCGACCGGGGCTTTGGAGGAGAAAGCGTACAACCACGTACCAATTGTACGCCCGGATACTGGCAACATTAAAAACGTTTATCCTCAAGGAGCAATTGGAGAATAGGTGAAGCAGCTATCGTCCTGCGGAACGGAAGTAGATGAAACCTCCTACGGATATACGTATGTGCAAACCCATCAAAGGCAATAACACAACATGGATTCAGTAGGTGGAAACGTGCATGATTCTTAGCGTAGATGTAATTCTCCAAAGCGCAGGTAGACCAATGGCCTCATGCCTAAAAGCCATGCTTTCTAGGACGGAGCCGCTTTGCCGGCAATAGCGTCGAATACCACGAACCTGCTGCGTTGATGTCGGGAGGAATGCGTAGTTGGCGCGACCGCATGATTCCCATCTCGGAGCCAGCGCTTACTGGCTCTTCTTGGCTGTCAAGCTCGGCACGTCCGGTCCAAAGCCGCCTACCAAGTACACCGAGCGGGTGAGGCAGAGGAACACCTGCAAAGCTTTAGCACCAATATTCTCTTGGAAAAGCAATTGGGTGTCTGTACTTACTGTGAAGGCTACATTCCCCCACGTCATTGGGTTCCAGCTCGCAACGTCTAGCGATCCCTCCCAGCCGAGCGCGTACAAGGTCAAGCCGACGTGCGAGATGTCGGCGAGCCACAGAGCGAACAAGTAGCTCCGGACCACCTTGATTTCAGTGGTGGTATACAGCACGGCAATGGCGAGGAGGAACCCTAAGCTAAACATAGAGCCTAGTTGTTGGGCAACTAGGCTGGCGTTCGCCGATGTGACGAGCGGCACCGCCGAAGGGAGCTGCTCAGAGACGAACCATTCTGGCCACAAGATGGCCGGAATCGCCCCAACCAGACTTTAGGGTGCCGAGCGGTGGTTAGTAACGAACGTCCATCCTCTGAGTCGGTGTCAACACTGCGGAAACATAGCTTACAGGGAGATGGGCTCCACCACGGTAAATATGACACGGGGGATGACAGGAAGGTGCGATGCCATTGCTGCTAGCGCCTGATGTGAATGGATAGATAGAATGGCTTATGAAATAGGGATGTGAAGAAGTGAATGGGAGTACCAACGAGCGGTGGCAGTTTGTATTACAAACAGGGTGCTCAGGCCCTCCCCCGCGCTTCCCGCTCCTTGTACCTGCGTTAGGGTAAACGGCCCCACATCCACCACCTGCCCGTGGCTGTTGCCAAGTGGTGCATTGCTAGAAGGATTCTCCCCATGCCACTACATATTCGTCGCAGACTCCTCGTGATGCCTTCCTCTCCTCTCCCCCGCACCTCAGGACGAGTGCAATGGATTCAACAGATTTTCTGAATAGTAATGCCCTATGGGTGCTTTACTCTTGCTACTCAAGCGCTACTACCACCCACCAAGCAGGGGAATCTAGGATCCCGTGTTCCTCGGTAGCCATGGCGTCTTTTCCATCTCCATCATTCGCGCCGAGGTGTTATAGGGACATACCGTATGTCCCACGTAAGAACCTCCTCTGAAAAGCACTGTTGCTAGTGATGCATAGCA